AGTGGTCCCAGCATGCATGATCTGTCACCCTCTCCCGAACCCCCCACGTACCGTTTCGGTTGGTCGCCTGTTAGGGATTATGAAACTTGTGCGGGCTCACCATCAGCCACATATAGAGCCCTGACATTTGAGTTTGTCGATGCCGTTAGCAGCCAAACATATATCACTCGGTCGACAATCGCACGAAGGCTGGTAGTAGACGAGAAATGAACCTGGGCTTTTTGAGTGAAAAACTCCTGAAAGATACATCAGAGAACCTTAACATTTTCGCAGTTGCATTATCATGGCGGGAAGGGCTTTCACTGCTAGCAAACTGGAGCCTAAGGAGCTGAGCGAGACATAGCAACTGAATTATGTAGCAAGAAGTGATTCAGTAATATGAGCCTAGAAGCAGTCGCCTGGAATATCACATCTCGTTTGCGTCAGCTCAACAATTCTCGAGATATCACCTCGGAATGCAGTGCTGATCTAGGCCTCAGAATTTGGTCTAAAAAACCAGCCCGTCAATGTAGATTGAAGAACACATTAGCTCGTTGGTAATGGTTGACAATGGTATTTCGAAACCAGAAAGCTCTCAGACATCTGCCTGTATAGCTTCAGGCTCCAGGTCTTACGAAATTTGTCTGTTCTGGAAGCTGGAATTAATGCTATTATTTGCGTAAGATGTTACAGGAAAAAGGGAACGCCTCCTGATTCAGTGATCAACGCAGCAGAGACTTTTGCCAGAGTCTGACTTGTGTCGACAGGCGAAACAATGAATTTTGTTCAATCAAGATCTAGATATCCTCGAGAAACGTCACAAAGGGCTTAGTGCCCCAGAAAATGACTCGAGATGTTCGCGGGTCAAGTCTTGAAGAGTTTCTGTAGCCAATTGAAAGGAACACTGATACTAACTGTGGACTTCAAGCCCCCATATCCGACCAAAGACACCTCGACAGCCGCCGATATTGACCAGAGACAGAGGACTCTGGAAGACTTTGGTCTTGGCGGCTAGCTCATTATCGATATCTCAGTAACGATGACGAATTTGACCCCTAGATAGATGGACATGAGCTCTCGTGATTTTTCGATTTTACTCACAGATCTTGTACCAGGATCACAGAAGAGTCCAGAAGAGCTCATCAGGTGAACATTAGCCCTGTGCAACATTGAATAATCATCGAAAACGGATTCTAAATGGGGCTCCTTTTGCCGATGTTGATTACAACTAACTCCAGTTCAGTTGAGCAACGGCCTCCAACCACTGGAATGCAGGCTTTGATCACGACCTATTCTTGATTTTCTCCGATTTCTTTTCATTGTTTACTCAATTGAAGAATGCAATTGTTTTTTTGGTAAAAGAAATGATTCTTTTGATGGTCGAATTGAGTTATTGAGTAGAGCTCTTGTCCTCGAGCTTTGTCTCGGATACCTGCTTGACAATCGATAGTTTGGAAATTGTGCCTCGACCTCTTATTTTTTTCTTGAACAAACTTATTCAAAAGCATCGTCAACTATATATTTCGGCCGGGATCCGAGTCTACAGGATACGTGATTTGACTTCAACAACGACATATACCAGAAATAATTGCATTCAGGCCTCAACCGATCTCATTCTTTGCAATACAAGTTCACCTCCATCATGTCGTCAAACCACCCCATTGCTCCATCGTCGATGTATTTCGAATCACTCAGAAGGACTTTAACGGCAAACCCCAGCTTGTGGAACGGACTGATACTTGAGTGCGCAATCTGCAGAGAGCCTATGAATCTTGTTGGAGACGGACTACCTTCCTCAGAGGATACTGGTTACGATGGAGTCAGTCGTTTGCATGCAATTCATGGCCATGAAAATTTTGCGAATCTGCACCCACGTTCACCCAAGGACGCCATCGTCCTACCGTGCGCTCACATATTTTGTAAAGGTTGTCTGTTCATAATCTATTACTCAGATTACGTTCTCCAAGACTTCCTGCCAACTAATGCGTACCCAAGGCCCGATCCAGTCTGTCCAGCCTGTCGAACAAAACTGGTCTACCCAGATTGCGACTTTCGCTGTCGTTTTCCTGGCATACCATTCCCACGCTCGAACCAAGCGATGAACCCCTTCCCCCCAACACTTCAAGGTGGTATAACGCAGGGTTCACGTAGATGCAACTCATGTCGGGTTATCGCAGCCTGGTATGACCTGCAGCACCGCGTTGACCGCGTGATGGAAGCCTCCATGCCTTATGATAATTGGATTATTACCGTTATGCCTACTAGTATTGCGGGTCAAGCCTGCTTATGCCGCAGTGAGGTGTACTTGGAACGGACATTTGGAGAACGACTCGCCCAAACCGCGCGCCATTTACGCATCGATACTGGGTTATGGCCTTGGTCAGGACCGCAGGCTTCTGATCAACTCAAGTTTGTTCTGAGATGGCGGACGTGAGATTGAAGGATAGGTAGATGTCGACACAGCAGAAAGATAGTACTTCCATGTTCTCGCGATCCTCAAACAAAATCATGAGCTTGTTTCAATTCTCACCAAGGCGATTTTCCACAGACAGACGAGTTCGATTTCAAAGTCATGCAATCACACTCTGTTCTGTGACTCTTGAAGAAAAGCTGGCGCCGTTGAATGTTAGGTCTATTCTAGAAAGGCGTCATGTTTGTTGTACAGTGTGTGAGAAAATGAGCCTTCGTGTGTTTTCAATGGTGTTCCGATGTTTGCACGACGATTGTCCGACTCAAAGCCAAAGCGCTTTTTGGAGAGTCCGTAACCGCTTGTCAATCGAATAATAGTAATCAGTGGACTGGATGCCTCACCGAGAACTGCACAAGGTTCATGTTGAGAAACACTGCATCGCATATCGAAGCCTCATGCGCCAGTGGACCAAAGAGGGCAACATTGCCCAACTAGGTCCCACCGGTGGCCGTTTTCAAGCTTTGCGGCTTGCGCAACCGGGGATCGGAGGGATCGCCTTGAAGGGAGACATGGACGTGTGACTGGCCAGTGACGTTTCCGTGTGAGCCTAGCACGCCGATCATAGTGTGGAAGAATCTCACTTTGCGGGGTTCCTCCGTGGGCGGGAGGAGATTCCTTGAGACCCGAGACTAACACGAGTAGACAATCGCAGGTGATCACTTCTCGGCGACCATATTTCCCCGATGATGGTTCACCAGCAGGGTCCTCTGTTTCTCAAGATACCACTCAAAGAACACTATACGAGGAGCTCAGCCATGACCGGCAGCCCCGACAAAGCGGTCTGGAGGGATGCTGGTGACACTGCGCGGCCGTATGTCCGAAAGCTTTGTTTGCTGCAGGATTCGGGTGCGTACAGACGAGTAAGACCTATGTAAGACCCAAGTATTCGTCATGTTGATCGTTCGTATTCCCGGAAGAGCACACTCGTCGTCAGGGTTGGCCGATGCAGGAAAGCAAACGCATGATCACGGAGATACGCCAGAAGACCAACAAATTTTGTGAAAGGCATCAAGAAGTTCAGACGTGTTCAGGATTGGTATAAATCCAGGTGAGCTGTCCTCTCCCATTCTTCCGATTCTCATCTCCTCATCATTCCAACCACTCTCAGCCCTCGGACCGTCCAAACTCCAATTACACCAACAAAAACAGACCTCAACGCTGCATACCCGAACTCTGTTCCTCTTCCAGCTACAGTACATTCAAGACCCCTTGCACCCCCTCAAAAAAACCAAAACCCTCTTCATCCATTCCATCATGCATTTTTCAACCATCATCGCAACCGCAGCGGCCCTGTTCCTCGGAGCCGAGGCCGGTGCCGTGCCCCGTCAAGACCCCCACATCACCGACTTCCGGATCTGGAGCGAACAGGGATGCGGAGCTGCCGGTAACCTCGGCGTCTGGACCATCACAAAGTCGCAAACCGATGTGTGCCAAACAACGTTCAACGCACCGGACAATGTCGTTAAGGCCATTCGCCTCAGCAGCCTTACAGAGGGCTGTGAGAGTAAGACCCTAATACCCTGTTTCTTGAGACAAATGGCTAATACTGGCTGGCTAAGTGATTGCCTACCCTACAGCCGATTGTGGAGAGGGAGGTCGCCAAGTCGGCGTCCAGACTTGCGAGGAGTGGAGCGATATCGCCGACAACTTCTTGAGCTTCAAGGTCACCTGCTCTTAGCCTTTCTCATCACTTATTGGGACTCTCGCATTTTCTGGAGTTTGTGATTTCTTTGACGATTTGGGACCGGAGAAAATGGTGCATGAACGCATGGTTGGAGTTGAACGCAGACACAGCATATGGAACCTTCCTTGGGAGTCACGACTGACAAGGATGTACGCCAGTGACTGGGCTTGGCATAATAATGGTAATTCACTCCTTAGGTACTAGTTTCTATAGAGAAATTGGACACGATCAATGATCTATATATAAACTCCCGACGCGATTATCTTGTGAGGAATGATAGCCGAACTTTTTAAGGTCTAGCGTACAATTCATTGTAGCCGTCAACGAGCACCCAGTGAGACATCTACCATACATTCCCAGTAAAAATAAATAGACATTGACTGGATTTCGTGTCTGATTACAGTAAACCTTCAGAGAAAGCACGTTGTTTGCATAGTGGTGAGCATGCTCTTGATGGTCCCCGAACGTCTTAATTGCCTTAGTGCTCAGGAGTAGGGTATCGGCGATCACACTCGGATCAGGAGTGCCGTTAGGTATTTCAAATCGAAATTCCCAAGAAGAATAGCTCCGTGGTCCCAGAAAGCACAATTGTCATAGCTTGGACCCTTGAACGTGGAGACGGCTCTTTCGTAGTTTGGCGCCTGTCCCAGAACGGGGTGAGTCTTGAATGCATGATGTCAAGAGAGCCAGAGTATCGGCACTAGCGGCACTTCATCGTCATTGCGACCGGGCACCCGCCTCGAGCTACATATCCTCGAGGTTTCCTCAGGTGCGCTGCCAGCCTTCATCATTCGTTTTTTTTTTTTGGAAATTTGGATAGAGTTCTCCTCAATTGTTCCTATCACGAACCTCATATCAATCGCAACAATGAGCCAACCAATTGGACTGACAACGATCCCCAGGCTACTGCGTATGTGCTAGACACCGAATTTTAGCCTCAGATATGTTTGCCTAAGAGCTAACTTGCATCTTCGGGTAGCTGTTACGGGCACGTTCGCGCTCCCGTTCACGATCTACTACGCATTCCTTAGCCTTCGTGTCGTCAACGAGCGTCTGAAATCAAAGCAATACTTGGGCGACAACTCCTCAAAGCCTGGAGCGGACCCCGAATCATACAAGGCCAATGCACTTTACCTTGCCGGCCGATCGCATGTCAATTACATCGAAAATGTGCCGCTTGCTTTCATCCTCGCTTCACTGATCGAGGTCAATGGAGGCAACCGCAAGACACTGAGCTGGCTGCTCGGGAGCTTCTTTGCCCTCCGTGTGCTGCATGCCGAGCTTGGAATAATGAAGCCCGAAGGCATGGGCAAAGGCAGACCCATCGGCTATTTCGGCAGCATCGGTGTTCTCGGGGCTTTGGCGGGCTACGGAGCCTTCTTGGTCAAGGGATATTGGGGATACTAATTAACGTACCTTTCATTACATCGAGAATGTAGACGGGCTGAAGACAAGCAAAGACAAGAAGGGTCAAAAGCGCATCATTCTACCTACTTACGCTGTAAAGCTGCGAGGAGTGCTAGTGTCCACTGCAGCTTCCCCCCTACTGTCGCGGGGCCAAGAGAAATCATGTGCACTTAAGAACCGGGGAATCAAGGATCTCTGAATGCCCGCGTGTGTAGCCAAGCATTAGATTCACTTGGGTATATCGGCTGAAGGTTTCAAGTCATTACCTGTCAGCATCTGTAATCAAGTCTCTAATCCATTGCTGGGCATCGATCATCTGAACCAGGAGTCAGAGTGCCGGGACAGTTCATCGTAACTCTTGGTGGGAGCATCGCTTAAGGGCCTGCATAAGGTCGCTTCGCTATTTCCCCGCCTGTAATTAATTATATGGTTCACCTCGTTGGACCTTACCCAAACCTTAATCACAACAGTCTCGCATGATTCGCCATTTCATTAAAATGTCCCTGAATGAACGGCAAAAACACATTCACGAAGCCCAATCAGTGCACTCTTTACTCCCGGCTCTTGGCGCCGAGGTTGGACGGTTTCCTTGCGCTCTCCGTGAGCGATGGTAGAATGGTTCAGGTATTAAAGCCGTCAAGGGTCGCTCTGAAGTAATACCTCTGCGTCATGGAGAGTTTCTCGTACATCTTCTGACCCATCTTGCCTGCAATGCACTTCTCTAAGGTTGCCCTCCTTTCCGCGCCTGTGATGGCCATGGCCAGCCCTGTCGCCTTGGAAACAAGACAGGACAACACTTGCTGCTATCAAACCGAGGTGAGAAACCATCCATTCGATCTGTCGAACGCCAGCTCGCTAACGCTTACACTGCCTAGGATGTGAACGCCCTCGTCTTTGTGACCAAAGGCCAGTCATCTCAGACTCTTGATACGCTTAACTGGTGTTATCTGCAGGTTGACCGGTATGCGGATCCTCTGAACACTTTTATCTATTTACTGAACCTAATTCTTCGGTGCTAGCGACGTGACTGATCCAGACAATTGCGAGAAGGCGACGCGATCATACTGGGCTGGGTACTGTCCCTCGGATGGCACAAAGGTTATCCCGTGTCCCTAGGTGCCGTATTTCGCGGAGTTTGCGCCACACAGGTGACATGCCATACGGTGCACGATAGCTAGTAGTAGGCAGTTTAGCGAAGCTGCCAATGAAGCTATAAGTTTGATTATAGCCTTGAATAGCTGCTTACGCTCCAAGAACTCGGGTCCTCGGTCCTTCGATGAACCCACTCCCTCAATCAGCCCTACACCAGAATGAAAGTTGTCTCTGTTTGCGATTTAAGCACAAGGGCTCCGCCGGCCTTCGCTATCGCTACCAGTCTACCAGACCACTCGGGCGGTTATTCTGGGGTGATAGCGTCAAGGCTAGGCTCAGCTCGGCTGACATGGCAGGGGACCATCCTCGTTCCAGTGCTTAAACTCAACACGACCAAATGTTACCAGTCCTGATTGGCTAGTAAGACAAGCATCACCGTGGCTTGGGAACCACGAGGACAGCAACTCCGCCCCTCCTGCCTCCTTCGGTGTCAGCCTAAATGCTCACCGTAGGCCTCCCCGATAGCAGCTCAACGCGCGCGGCGCAGCACTCGGCAGTATTTGGCTCCCGTCGCGCAGCTTTCTACTTAAGCTTGTGCGCGCCATCTTCCCCAGCCTTTGCATGGTTTTTGTTTGATACTTTCAATATCTCAACGTTCGTACACACCCAAACCATCATACCTACACAAGTTGACCGCCCTCGCAAAGATCCGTCATCGACATTAAACCCGGAATCATCACGACAAATCGAGACATCCTGTGTTACGTAATAAATACACCATGCGCAATCCTTTCAAGCCGAGACAAGCGCCTTCTCAAAGCTGGGTCGGGAGACCGAGAGCTCTATCAGCCGACGACCCAGTCTTCAAAGACCTCGACGAGGATGAACGAAAGGGCATTGAGAGCAGCTCTATCCGCCAACAACAAAAGACGTCACAAGAGTCAAACAGAGAGTCGCTGAAGCCTTCTGGGTCGGATAGCGCCGTCTCAGTGGGAAGCGGATCATCTTCTCATCACAGCGTCAGCGCTGATATCGGTCAAGGTTATGCCGCAATCGCAGGAGCTTTCTCTGGCACCGATCACTCTGGACATTGACCGCGAAAGATCGGATTGAATCCATCTCAAAATCTTTGGTCGATTTGCAAGCTTATGGGCGGAACGGATGCCGTTTTGAATAGCAGGGGACGAACAAAGGGGAGCTGGCAACTGAGTTATGTTTTACGAGCGAAAGATACCCAAGAAATTCTTTATTCAACGACGGATCGAATAGCACGGAGTAATCAGCAAGTGATGTACACAGACCGTGCTCCATCGGTCAAGTAGAACTGTCCGTCCTTGTTGGCAACAGGAACGCAAGAATGGTCCTCGTATGAGTTGACCGTGCTGACCGTCGCCTTTCCACTGCACCCGGCATTTGCCCAGAACTTGAGCTTGCAGACGTTCCCGCCTCTGTTTGCGAATAATGCCCCGTAGACATTTCCCGAAAAATCTTGGCACCGGCCAGAGGAGACGTCAAAATTGTTGGTATAACTGCCAGCACAGCCTCCGTCGTGGAAGACGCCGAGACTAACAGTGTCGCGCTTCTGCAGTGTGGCGGGCGTAGCGGCAGCTTGCGCTCCGAGGACCAAGACGAGGCCAGATATGATTTGAGTGAGTTGAACCTGAGGTGGATGCAGTCAGTATGCGGATTTCATCAAGATTTGCTACTTCGATAAATTTACCATTGTGAATATTGGATCTTGTCCTCGACTACTTGAGGATTGTGCAAAAGTCTGACGGCAAGGTTGATGTTGATGTCTAGTATTCGTGAAATTTATAGTCTTCTACGCGCTGGTCAACTTAGGCAGGTAGTTCTGAAATACCCCAATACATATCTCTGCTCGCATTGAGCGGGAACGTCTGACTACCGATACCTAGACGAACCACTAGTGGAGGGGAATCCGCATCAGACTCGAAGAGAAGGAGGAAGCAGCGGAGTTCCACCCTTCACAGACAATAATTTCCAATATCTTGCTTACTCGAAGCAGGCAATTGATCTCATTAGTAATAGCAACATCTCCGAGACCCATAAGTTTAGGGCCAGAGTCCGACTAAAACATCTGTTCCGAGCGACTAGGCGTACGGTGCTTACTCACACTCCCTTCAAGCACTGCTGCCTGTAAGGCTGTTACTCAGCACCATGACACCAACGTAACATCAACCATATTGGGTGCAAAAGATGCTATTGTATCGGTAGATCAAGAATATACACAGAGAAGGCATGTCAAAGTGTCTGATTCATGAGATTCATTTATATAAATGACCATGAATCCGGGGTCGAGGTTCGGGCACATCTGAACCAACGATGTTAAGAGTGTCATACGGAGCGATGGCTTGTTCACTATACTGGAAACCGTTTCTAATTATAAGAAGGGTCATCATCATTGCTTTGCCTACGCATGAAACTATCTGGCATCTGGGGTAACATCAATATAAACTTCAACCTGCTTTGAGTTGCCCGGCAAAAGGACTGCGACCCCTGATTTTCTCCCCATAGATACACAGCAACCAAGGAACAAGCGAAAGAAGCAAACCAATGCCACCTAGTAGACTTCCCGCAACACCGTACCCAAGCCTCTGGAACATGATGTTTGTAAACAAAGGGAACACTCCGGCAAGCAGATTCCGACACATAGACTGTGCTGCTAGAGCGGAGGAGGCATATCGGTGGTAGGTGTCCGCCAGATAGTTGAAAACAGCCAGATAGATGGTGAAGATGCCAACCGTCACGGAGGTGATTGCGAGTGCGGGCACAATCCAAGGTACGTTGGGAGACGAGCTCCAGCCAAACCAAAACAGCCCGATCGGCAGGAAGAGTGACTCAACACATGCAGAATAGAGTCTTCCTTCCGGCGTTGCCATCCGTTGAGGCATGAACTTCTTGAAGATCGGCTCCTGGAAGATTGTAATCACCGCCCCGATTACCGATCCAATAATGACTGAAGTGTAGATACCTCCTACCTGACTGCTGTTGAAGCCATACACGGAGCGGAATGCCAGACCGATACTGTTGAACTGCATGTATAGGATCGCCCACGCGAATGAAACCCAGGCGGAGAACCAAAAGACGACGGATTCGGTGCAAAGAAGTTTCAGGGGGAAGGAGAAGCTCCGCCAAAGGATACTCATATCAAGCTCAGGACCCTCGAAATGGGCGCGGAACTGGACACGAACAGGTTGCGACTGACCCTCACTCAGCTGCTCGGTGCCTTGCCGCAATCCACTCTTGTCCCCAATCGGCGACGAGACCCGCTGCAGGCGAATACCGTCGAAATGTTTGTTGAGAGTTACGCACTTCCGCTCAAGTACAACATTACTCCGCGTCTCGGCGAAGAAGATGAAGATGGCTAACGTGGTAGAACTGACAGTGATCATCTGCACGTAAAAGATCCATCTCCAATGGAGGTTGTCGACGATTATACCGCTGATCATGGGACCCAACCCGGTTCCAATCATGATCGTGAGCGAGTAAAGGGCCATGGGCGTGTTGCGATTCTCCTTGTGGAATACGTCTCCCACCACGCCCCCGGTCAGCGTCGCAAAGACTGATGCCCCGTTGCCTGTAATCAGACGAGAGACCAACATGCCAGGAAACGACTGTGTCACCGCGCAGCCCAGGGTTCCCAGGAAAAATACGGCACCTGAACCGACAAAGACCCAGTAGCGGCCGTAGATCTCGCTGATCAAGGCTAGTATCATGGGCGCGAAGCCGAAACCCAAGACGAAGAGGGTGATGCCTAGGTTGAATTGGGTGTTCGTGAGATGCCATTTCTCAACCAGGGGAGCAGCGGCCATGGCATAAGCGCCGGCAGAGTAGGCGGCTAGGGTCGAGGCGAGGAAGGTCCCAAAGAGCACCGTGATCTTCTTTCG